ATATATATATATATATATATATGAATTAAATATGGAAACTTCATTACAGTATCTTTTTTAGTTGCTGAAGTTGAGTATATTTCCACGCAATTAAACACATTTCTCTAGAAACACATCCATTTGTTATTCTTTTGAGAGATGAAGGCTGTTCCATGCAATACTGTCTTGAAAGAAGAAAGCAAACTGCATCTAACCAGCACAGGGAGATAAATGAATGTCCCAGATGCACAACAACAAGACAAGGAGTACATCACTGCCTTTACTCTGAGAAATAGACCCCTGACTGGCAGGGCCGCATTAAGAACGCACTGGGCCCCGGGGCTATGACTTACTGCAGGGCCCCCCATCACAATAATGATATTTTGATATTTATATATGTATATATATATATATATAAGCCTTATATAGCTGCTGTTACCATTTGTGTCAATAATGTAAATCAAACATCAGCAAGAAAATTACTTACTGTCCTTGACTGAATCACTTTTGTAAAATAAATAAGAATGAATGTATATTGAATTTATACAGTGAAGACTATTCAGTCTGTTGCTCCATTAATGTTCAATACTACGTATATATTTTTTCTGCAATTATACATTTTTGTAGGTCACTTAATGTCATCCTACGGTTGTTATACCTTATATATACCCTATATATATATAGGGTACAACGGTGCTAAAGGCCCACCTTAAGAAAAAAATGAGTGAAAAAAATTCACTGCGCCTAAAATGTATAATTGCAGAAAAAATATACATTCAATATACATTCATTCTTATTTATTTTACAAAAGTGATTCAGTCAAGGACAGTAAGTAATTTTCTTGCTGATGTTTGATTTACATTATTGACACAAATGGTAACGGCAGCTATATAAGGCTGCATTATAGTTCACCCAAAAATGAAAATTCTGTTGATGTTCTAAACCTGTATGAGATTCATTCATGCTGTTGAACACAAAATAATATATTTGGAACAATATTGGTAACCAAACAGTTGCTGGGCCCTCACTATACACTAAAAAAAACACACTATTGGAGTCAGTTGGGACCAGAAACTGGTTACGATCATTCTTCAAAATATCTTCTTTTATGTTGAGGAGGAAAAGGAAATTCATAGAGGTTTAGGACAATTTGAGGGTAAGTATATCATGACAGTATCTTCATTTTTGGGTGAATATCCTTTTAAGATCTCATCATATAGGCTAAGGATCTCATATAGCCTAACAAATGCTTTATCTATAACTATCAGCATTCATTTAAGACACAAATAACTGTGTTTACGAGGATACTCGCAAAGACGGGCATTTTGACACGTAACTATGTGTATTTGACCGTTTAAGCACAAGGAGCGAAAGTTTAGTCAGTAATACGAGCAGATGTATCAGGTAGAAACCGTTTTAACGCACACATTTACCAGAATTAATTCTGCCCCGCAGCGTAATGTCCATGAACAGTATAAACCATTTGTTTTAAAACCTGCTTAAAACGCCTTGAAATGGTAAACGTAGACTACATCATGACGTGCTTCAATCAACGATTGATATATTTCTACCGGATTATCTCCCAACCCTTAAATGAATATAGTTTGTTCAAACACAAAAACAATATAAATCCAGTTAATAATCAAGCTAAACTAAAATCTGTGTGGACGATGACACTGCTTTTATCTGCTCCGTGTGCCCGGTTCACTTGCTGTTCCAGCAACTTCCACTCCATCATCAGCTTTAGTCAAATAATCTGATAGCTGTCATGTTTTTTATGTTGTTTGTATTTGAAATTTTTCGTTTTTTTGAGCCCCTCTCTCTTTTAGAATTGCTGACATTTTTACTAATTGAATGTTGTTCTTTGCGCGACCATTTCCAGATTACTCCAGAACAAAGTGAAGAGAGGTGAATGCAGACATACTGGGCAGCGATCACCTGATAGATATTTGCACATATCGTTCAAAAGTCAAATATAGAATAAATGCATTTGATTGGTAAACCAAATTCAGACTTTACATTTCAATCTCAAATGGTAATGCATGGAATTTACGGAAAAGCTCAACTAAATAACAGCGCTAATAAGGTGGCTTTGGCGATCGGCGCTCCAGTCAATCTACTCCACAGCCAATCACGGGCCCCCTCCTTGCTCGGGCCCCAGGGCTTCAGCCCCGCCTAGCCCAATGGTTAAAACGGCCCTGCTGACTGGTGCTTGGCTGGCAGCTTCATTGAAAATACAAATTAAACATCAACAGTCAAGACAAGACTCCAAACTTTTAGGCAGAATGTCAGAGAAGATCTAACACTGACACATAAGAACAAAACTGATTGGGATTGAGCTAAATATCAGAAATTGGATTGCAAACACGGATGGATAAATTCAAGTCTAAGGTCTTGTTAGTCAATCCTGTTTTATTGAGGAAAGAATAGGGCTGTTCTCACCATATGTCCACCTGTTAGCTGGTACAGATCCTGTCTCTGTTTTATTTGAGCTACATGTACAATTTTGACAGGGAATAAGGATTTAAACTTAATAAAATGTCTGCCTCAAGAGCTGACATTCTCATATCAGACCTTATTCCTCAATCATTAGCACTTTCCGAAAACATTTTTCTTACTTGCAGAACCTTTAAAGTTGCAGTCCATGGTCAAGAGTAATTCAGCACCCTGTCCTTTATTAAAGGGCTGCCAGACCTCCTAGAACGTTTGCAAATGTCACTGCGCTAGAATCACTCTACTTTGACTAAATACCATCTGCCAGTGTCTCTAATGTTACCAAGTCTGGCCATGTATAACACTAGTGGTTGCTAAGCTAGCTGAGTACCAAACCAAAAAGTCCCTTTAAAGGAATAGTTCACCCAAAAATGAAAATTTGCTAAAACGTACTCGCCCTCAGGCCTTCCAAGATGAAGAGTTTGTTTCTTCATCGAAACAGATTTGTAAAAATGTATCATTACATCACTTGCTCACCAATGGATCATCTGCAGTGAACGGGTGCCGTCAGAATGAGAGTTAAAACGGCTGATAAAACATCACAATAAACCACAAGTAATACACACGACTAGCTTAGAACTGTTTTGGACTGTTTTCACTTGTAAATGGTCTCCTGATTTAGACAAGAAAAATATGTATAAAAGGACTTGTATTTTAGTTTTACACTTTACAAGATGTTAATTGATAGACTGGAGTTTTGTGCATTATTGTGATGATTTTATCATCTGTTTGGACTCTCATTCTGACGGAACGATATGAGGGAGCTTACAATACTCTTCTCCATCATTTGATGCCATGATAGCTAGAAAATATGTACTACCAAAAGTTTGGGGTCAATAAGATTTTCTTTTCCTCCAAAGAATACAGAAAAAAATTAATCAGTTTCCACCAAAATATTAAGCAACACAGCTGTTTCTAAATAACTATGTGACAATGAAGACTAGAGTAATGGCTGTTGAAAATTCAGCTTTGCCACCACAGGAATAAATTACATTTTAAAATATATTAAAAAAGAAAAAAAGTTATTTGACATTGTAAAAATATTTCACAATATTACTGTTTATACTGTATTTTGAGAGCCCTGTCTCAAACTTCTGAATGGTAGAGTACACAAATATATTTTTGCATAAAACATATACTACTGCCCTTTGTATTAACTTCATGCGAATTTTATTTTATTTTGTGAATTACGATCGCAACTCACATTAAAAAATGCGTAGTTATGCTGAAAAATATAACAATGTTTTTTCAATGTTTTCTTTTTTCATATGGCACAGTGAGCATCTAGCATGTGGTTAGCAACTGTTTTATGGTAGGTTAGTGAATAAGACTGCAATATTTGTGTTATAATGCTGCATGCAAAAATGGGCGCAACTGTTTAGTGACGTTTATCAAAACTACAGGAAAGTAAAATTAACCATTCATTTCAGCTAAAAGGGCTAACCTTGTAGATGCCTTGATTGCAGCCATTGTAAGTGCTTTCCATGGTGTAGCTTCGGAAGACTCCGATCTCCCTCCAAACGACAACCCGTGCTGTGGACGCCCGAGACTTTTCCACCAGATAGTTGCAGCTGTTGAAGGAGAACGCAGGAGCTATTCGGTCCAGAGTTTTAGCGATAGTCTGTCAATACAAACAATGTATGAGTTTTGAAAAAGAATAATGTATTTCATTGTATTTGCATTTTTAGGCCACTGTTTTCAGTTCTAGATATGTGTATATTTAGTTTAAGAGACTTCTTTGCATAGATGGCAGACATCAGTCAGACAGCAGCTAGCGACGCAATATTTTCCACATTACAGATTCCACAGATTTACGTATGCCTTTAAACTATCCTTTAACTCAATTCGCCACAGCCTGTATGTTGGGGAGAAACTTCCTTCGGCACCAAACTTCAAAAACTGGCTCACAAATAAAAGTTTCATGTAGGATGGAAACAACGGAGCCAATCAGAAAACAATAAATGAGACAAAAAGTATGCTCACTGTATAACTGGATATAATGATAAAATAAGGACACTAAAACATTTCATGCATTGTTGGCTCTTCCCGTGAGAGCAAAAATAGATTATGGGGATACAGCAATAGCTGTAAAACAACTCCAAGTTTGCTCTTTCATAGCTCAGGAGATGTAATTGAGTTCTCAGTTGTGTGACTTTGAAGAACCAACTTTGTTTCAGATGTTTCTCCTAAAATAGGAGCAATAAAAATAGAAACAAATGAGAATGAATGTACAGTAAGAGTATAGAGCTGTAAAATGAATGTGGGTAACACACTACCATTCACAAGTTTTGGGACATTTTTTTTAGTACTTTAGAATTTAATACTTCATTCAGCAAGGTTGCATTTAATTGATCTAATTTATTAGAAAAACAAAATCTATTTCAAATAAATGAACTAACCCAGTTCATCAAAGAATCCTTAAAAAAGACCCCATTATGGTTTCCACAAAAATATTATGAAGCACAACTGTTTTCAATATAGATAATTATTAGAATAAACATATTAGAATGAATTCTGAAGGATCATGTGACACTGAAGAATGGAGTAATGACTGCTGAAATTTCAGCTTTGTCATCAAATTAATAAACTGTATTATTAAGATATATTAAACAGAAAACAGTTCTTTGAAATTGTAATAATATTTCACAATATTGATGTTTACAATGCAATTATTATCTCTAATAATTTCGGAATTTGATAAGAAATGATCAAGACCATATTGAAATCTGACTTTTAATTGCAGACTGGTATTTTGGCAAACCAGAGCAAAGTTTGAGACATTATTGAGACACTATAGATTTCATTGTGGCTGGAGCCAAGTGATCTATAGAACTTTCATAGGATAAAAAACTCAGATTACAGGCAGTAAGCGTACCCTGTATCCCGGGTCTTCTTTCAGGGAGGCTGTGTTAATGGGAGAACCAGATTGCCACAGGGTTTCCTTCATACTGCAGCCATACAGAAACACATTCTTCTTCCTGGAGTGACCATGGTAATCGCAAAACACCTGTGGAATGTGATAACAGAACAAATATAGTGAAACAGCAAGATTGTGTTGAATTTCTGCATCTTTGTAAATGAATAGCAAGGCCAAGGAGGTCACATTGTCAGGCGAAAACAACAGTGTCTTTTTTAGCTTTCCTGACACGACAGCAACGCAATGTTAACTTAAGGCCGAGTCAAACATAATTAATCTTGTGACACAACACGCAGACACAGACACCAAGGGGAATAAAATGCTAGACAATGCATTGCGTTTTGACTCTAATTCAAATTTTGTTGACAGTGTGGCTGCTAATTGCATAGCGATGAGCCTTTTTGTAAAGGCTAAAAAAAAGGCTCTTTCCTCATTCGTTAATGGCACAAGTCACGTTTTTTCCACTGTAGTTTCTGGGGAAATGACAATGTTCCTTTGACCAGGTTCGGTGCATAATTATTGCTGTGATCAAATAAGAATTATGGCATAATTTATATGTAAATCTGGCTAATTGTATCAAAGCAAATGTTCTTTTGGTTCTTCGCAACAGGTAATTCCTGCTTAATTACAGGACTGACAATGGTCATTTCCATGCTATTCTGAATCATATGAATTCATTTAATTGCACGATTTATTTTAAGCTAGAACTACAGATGCAGCTTTCGAACAGTAAGCATCAGTTTAGCTTATGACGTCCTAGAATGTTTGACCATTTTCAATAGCGTATTCTCTCAAAAGTGCTGGTGAACCTACTTCTGTTGCTTTGTTTTCCCCCCTGACTTGCATAGATAGTGCAATGGGTCCATTACTCCATTTCCTGAGAAGCATTTTTTGAAAAAGGACAGGGAGTGTATAGGGACAAGGTAAAAAATAGAAGTTATTCTTTAGTGCTCTAACAGCATCATGAGAAGCTCAAAGGCACCAGTCAAGACTATATGAATAGATCTGACTAAAAATATAAAAAAGCTTTTAATTCTGTGACATGAAGTAGAGGTCATCTAAAACTCTGTCCGTGACTTTTTCTGCAGATTACAGATATGCCAGCTGACTTTATTAATGAGACATCAAATCATTTATTCAGCTGATTCAATCAAAACCTCTGCATCTTTATGATTGTATCATTGAATCATTTACTCAACTGATTCATTCAAAATGCAGATTTGTTTTAGGGACAAAACAAGTGACTCTTTATGAGTGAGTCATTGGATCCTTTACTCAAGTGATTAATTCAGAAACACTTCATTCTGAAAAAAAATGCTGATTCATTCACAAACAAAACAAGTCCTGCCTCCCCATTTGCATACTATCCGTAGCAAATAGTTTCTGGATTATTAATCTTGAATACTATTTAGGGCAGAGAGTATGTGAATTGGGATGCGGGGACTGCCTTTATATGCAAGATATTTACTCAACCAATTCATTCAAAACCCAGTATCAGGATTCATTCAAACATCTGATTTACTCACAAACAAAAAAAGTGACTGTCTTTATGTTTGAGTCATTGAATCCTTTACTTAGTCAGCAAAGTCAATTTTGCCACCTTTGGCTAAATCTAATGGAAATCAAGGACGCTGACAAGATCGCCTTCTTTGACTCCTCCGTCTCTCCCAAGGGATTGCTTGGCCCTGGGTTTGCGGAGCGAATTACAGTGGCACAGAAGTCATCACAAGTCATGTGGTACTTCCTGCCGAAGTGCTCCAGCTTGGTGGCTGGTACAAGTCGCCAGAAGGCTCCATCCTCTCAACAACCTGCAAACCCCACACCACCTCCGACCCAGCCTAAATTTGAGCCTGGTCTTCAGCAGCACCCTCAGATGGCTAGAAGGTACCCATACCTTAAGTGCCAAGAGTAGTGCTGGAACCTGAGCCTCAGAAGCCGTCCTGATCCAAGAGCAGAAAGGAAGAGGAGAGGGTCAGTACCCATCGAGGCCGGACTGTCCTCAAAGAAGTCTCGCACTCACTCTCCAATCCCCTGCTTGGGCGATGGAAACTCTATTCAGGCTGGGCCCATCCTTCCCACTCAGCACGCACCCATGCAATTTACCACTGAGATAGTGGACCCATATACTCAAAAGAGCACTTCTCCTCTTCCCACTATCATGAGGGTCAGTTCCCCGCCTCCTTGTGGTGACCTGCCACTCGAAAATCTCAGACCACTTGCCATCTGGGTCCAGGCTTGGAAAGCCATTCCGGATGTGTCAAGTTGGGTTCTAAAAACCATAGAACGAGGTTACTCGCTGCAGTTTGCACATAGACCACCTTGCTTCAGAGGTACTATCCAAACTTCGGTGTGGTGTAACAATGCTTACGTTCTCCAGTCCGAAGTGCAAACTCAGCTTGCAAAAGGAGCTGTAGAAATGGTCCCTTTAGTGAACAGTGAGTCAGGCTTCTACAGCCGCCATTTCCTCATTCCCAAGAAAGGTGGCGGGCTCAGGCCCATCCTTGATCTCTTGAGCATCTGATTTATGAAACGGCCATTCAAGATGCTGACTTTGAAGCAGATCCTCACAAAAATATGCCCTGGGCACTGGCTTTTATCGTTGGATCTGAAAGACGCTTACTTTCACATCTAGATAGCCCCCCATCACAGACCATTCTTGAGATTCGCGTTCGAGGGGGTTGCTTATCAATATACAGTCCTACCATTCGGACTGTCTCTGGCCCCATGCACTTTTACGAAGTGAAAAGTTGGACTATTAAACTCAGCTTGCAAAAGGAGCTGTAGAAATGGTCCCTTTAGTGAACAGTGAGTCATTTCCTCGTTCCCAAGAAAGGTGGCGGGCTCAGGCCCATCCTTGATCTCTTGAGCATCTGATTTATGAAACGGCCATTCAAGATGCTGACTTTGAAGCAGATCCTCACAAAAATATGCCCTGGGCACTGGCTTTTATCGTTGGATCTGAAAGACGCTTACTTTCACATTTTAGATAGCCCCCCATCACAGACCATTCTTGAGATTCGCGTTCGAGGGGGTTGCTTATCAATATACAGTCCTACCATTCGGACTGTCTCTGGCCCCATGCACTTTTACGAAGTGAAAAGTTGGACTATGCGAATAGTTGGACTTTGCATAGTTGGACTATGCGAAGCTTTGGGATCGCTAGATGAGGGCTTAATGAACTCATATTTGTGAAAACCTCAAATTCGACCACTTGTTTTGCCTTTGCCTAGCTCTTAATTAGTCTGTGCGTCATTCCGACTCATTTTGCCAGCACGGGTCTCATTTAGTAAATTAAAACGTTGTAAATAGGAGCAATGGTAATGTATCTAGTCACACATTATGTCAGTCATGATTTCATTACTTTTTTAATATGGTTCATTTAATTCAATTCACAAAATTAGTCATTTCAAATTGCAAATGTTTTCTGATAAACAACAAAGCACTTAGATCCACTCAGGCCTGCTTCAGTCTGTACGGTCTCAAACACATATTTATGGATTTGGTCATCCCTGACCTGCATTTAGAAGTAGAAAGCTCCGAGATCATGGAACAATTTCCGGCGAGCCCCTTGTGGAACTTTAGGATTCAATAGGTCAGTTACAGTGCAGCGAGATTTAATGGAAACTTACCAGCGGAGTCCTGCCTATGCTGTTGAGGTAATAGAGGAAGCCTTTGGTGTGGTAAATTGTGGGGCTTAAATTAGGGTCTGGCTTCAGCCACTGTCTGTTGAGGTCCTCAGCGGTGAGAGAACAGCGATTACTGAAATAAATCAAAAGAAAAAAAGTGATTACAAAGAACAGAAAGTCAACTTTAAACTTACTAAAAGTCCAATTTGGATTTCATGAGCTCTTTGACGCATTGCCAGGGATCAAAGTAACATCAAAAACCATCTGAGTTTGCAATCCAATATCTGATTTAGCTTACCTGTTTGTTTGAAGACCAGATAACCAATCTATCTGTCTCTGTGCATGCCTGTGTATCTGTGTGAATATTCAAACGCTGGAATTGTGACGTTCCCATATCAGCGTCTAACTTTACAGGTTACTGAAAGGTCGGCAGTGAACAGAGCTATCTAGCGCACCGCACAACCAGTCTGTTGATTAGAGAGCAAGCAGCAGCTGAGCTTTATCTCCTGACAAAATCCTACTGACATTTGGAGGTAGCTTGCCAACTACAGACTTCCCCACATTCAGTTCCTGAAAGCCAATTATAAGACACAATGTTCAAACATTAGCAAATTGATAGGCCGCATTTGAAATGGCTGAGAGCGACTGTTGAGTCTCTGATCACAGGTGATCTGTGTGATAATTTGCTGTGTGCTTTCTTTGGGTCAATCTTGATCTGGAATGAGTGGAAGCATGAAGTAATACACAGTCGCCACCTGAAAATAAATATACAATAAAATATCCCGGCTTTTTATCAAATGCAATGGCTGTTTTCAAAGACATCAATAATGGCTACGTGAAAACAAAAGATGGAAGTTGCAGTCTTCTTTTCCTCTGAACAGTTTGTTCAACCAGACTTTTTTGGAGTATATTGCCGATTGAACTAAGATGCCTTTAGGTACATTAAAAATTAACGGAAACCACAAACAGAACCGCATGACTATAAATACAACCCACTTTTTAAAGTGTCTCAGAAAAGCTGCGGCTCTCTGCTGAAGTAGTTCAAGAAAAGAGCCACAATCTTCAGAGAGTTTCATCGTAAACAAAAATACCATATTCTAGGGATCTGGAGACAAGGAAATTACTGTATTTTGGAGGCAACAAAACGCGGTTTTCTGGACAGTTTCCAATGCACCCCAGTGGGGGGGGGCAGCAAAGCGGAAATGGCAAGAAAATTGTTCCACCCTACAGCTGTCTATAGTTTAAAGTGAACCTTTGTAGAGAAAATAAGAAAACCAGAAACAATGGATGTCAGTTGAGATGATTTGAGAGTTAGATCAATATTACCCGTCTGTCTGTTCAAGCCATGTTTACACTAGGCAATTTCTGACTTGGATTTCCAACTCTTTGTGTCATTATGCATTCATTGCCGGATATTTAGATCGTAAATATTTGATGAACCAAACTGAGGCTTTTGCTATGAACGACATCAGTGACTTCATGTTTTTCCTCTTTTTTGGGGGGTTCCATTTTGTTCTTGACAGAAATAATGTATGAACACTTTTCTGCTCTTGCGTTATTCATTGCCGGATATTTAGATCGTAAATATTTGATGAACCAAACTGAGGCTTTTGCTATGAACGACATCAGTGACTTCATGTTTTTTCCTCTTTTTTGGGGGGTTCCATTTTGTTCTTGACAGAAATAATGTATGAACACTTTTCTGCTCTTGCGTCTGATGACAACTGAGAGGTGGAACAGTATTTTGTCCCCTTTTACGGTTCTCCAAAAACTGACAGCCCTTCTAACACATCCTGCTTTTAAAATGTCTACTTTTCAATATTTCACCCAGTGCACTGCAGTGCATGACACATTCTGTAGTAGCCCAAAGCAACCCTGGTCTCAAAGGCTAAAAAGAATTTAAACATAGTTCAGGTTTAATATTTAGGAGAGGTAATGAAATAAATTAAATCATCAAATAAATACCAATTAACACATGAACAGAATGGTCATTTGACTCCACCAAACCTCAAAAAGAGAACACTCAAATGATCATTTGGACTCCACTCACTTCACAATATAACGCCTAATGCAGGTGTGTCAAACTAAATTCCTTTAGGGCCAGAGCCCTGCAGAGTTTTGCTGCAACCCTGCTCAAACATACATAGCATGTAGTTTTCAAATGAGCCTGAAGGGCTTGATTAGTTGGATCAGGTGTGTTTAATTAGGGTTGAATCTAAACTCTGCAGACCTCCGGCCCTCCAGGAATTGAGTTTGACACCCATGACCTAATGGGAATTTGACTCCACCCACTTCAAAACAGAAAGTTCCCTGGGCATTTGTCTCCACCCAACTCAAAAACACTAGCTACATTTACAAGCAGTAAACGTGATGGCTCAATTGGACTGAAAAGCGTTCATGTAAACACCTTAATTGGGATCGGATTAGAAGGGGTGATGTAGACCTTTTCTAAACAGAACACTCAATGATTACTTTGACACCACCCACTTGGGCATTTAACTCCACCCACCTCAAAAACAATAGGTGCGTTCGACTTGAAGCACTGCTACAGACGGCAGTCAACGAGAGTAGCCGCTTGCAGTCGGGGGCGGAGTTGAAAACGGAGCCGTCAAGCCGGACACTTTCTGCTCCAGTTAGTGATGCTCGCGCGGTGTTTGCATACTCTATCACAGCTGAAGTGAATTAAATGCAATATTTGTCAAATACACAGACGTTTCAGAAACGTTTTCATGAGCAACAGAAACACTTTTTATATGCTGCTTAATACAGGGCCATCTGTTCAAGAATAAAGTTCAATGTAAATATATGCTATTTAAATACTAATAAAGTGGGGGTATATATGCTTTCATGATAAACGTGACTCAATATCACATTGCGACTACAGTAAAAAAGCTTTTAATGTTCTAAAAACACAGATTTATGAGCAGTATTGGATTTGAAGATGTTAGAAACACATGTCATTGTTGTCATGTGGTGAATTTGGCCAATCGTGAAACAGCTGTGTGGTCATCAGCGCTCCTGCAGTCGCTCTGAAAAGTCAGCTAGCTGCTCTCGAAACGCTTTCGCGGTACTTTGATGCCACACGTGACAGTGACGTAGCGTTGGCGCCGGTTCAAGTCAGACAAAATTTCTAACCGGCATGCACTGCTTCAAGTCAGCTGCTGATTGGTTTGCGCGCCGCAGCATGAAGTCGAATGCACCTATTGTCTAATGGGAATTCGACTCCATTCAACCTCAAAAACTGTGCCCTCAATAATTGTGACTTCAAAACAGAAAGCTCACTGGGCTTTACACTCCACCCACTTCAAAAACAATGTCTAATGGAAATTTAACTCCACCCAACCTCAAATATAGAACGCTCAATTATTATTTTGACGCTCATTGGGTATTTGACTCCACCCACCTCAACTACAGAATGTTTAATGGGCATTTGACTCCACCCAACCTCAAAAACAGAACACTCTATAATAATTTTGACTCCACCCACCTCAAAAACAATGTCTAATGGGAATTTCACTCCACCCAACCTCAAAAAGCGAACAGTCAATGATCATTTTGACCTCATCAGCCTCAAAACAGAGCACAGGTTGGGTGTTTGACTCCACCCACCTCAAATACAGAATGTCTAGTGGGAATTTGACTCTATACCCACCTTAAAAATACAATGTTCAATTACCATTTGGACTTCTCCAATCGTAAATGAAATGAAAGCAATCCTGGTCTACAAGGCTTAGGATTTACATATAATTAAAAAAATCAAGACAAAGTGTGAAGTACTACACCTAACCTAATAATACCCAATAATAATTTTGACTCACCTCAATCTTGGTCTCAAGGGTGCTCATCAAATAGGAATTAACTCATGTAAAATATAAGCATTTGTCTCCAACTCAAAAACAAAATACCTAATGGTAATTTGACCATTTAACTCCACCCACCTCAAAAGCAGAATCCCCAATTATCATTTAGACTTCGCCTACCTCAAAAACTCAATGAATAATTGACTCATCTCAACCTCACAAACTAAATACCCATGGGCCATTTGATTCCGCCAACATCAAAAATATCCAATCAAATGCCTCCTGACTCATTGTCAAAAGCAAACACATCACGCTCCAGCATGCAAATGCTAACTGCTCTAAAAACATTTAATTCACAGCGGGCGAGTGCTAGTTAAGGCTTTAATTAGGAATACTGTTGTTCAAGCGTATACGGATTATAATACAATCATCATTTATACACTTTATGATCCAAAAACTTATAATGAAGCCATTAACGCAAGTCACTCCCCCTTAATAATTACCCGTTGAAAAATAGAAAAGCATTTGATGCTCACTGAGACAAGAAATGACAGAACAGTGGGAGTTTTGGAAAGAAAACTGTATCTTGTACATTTGTTCACATTAACTATTTATAAAGAGATTAAATGGTTGACAGTGAGAGGAATTAACGCAAGTATCACCTCAGTTCAGCTACAACACAGATAAATAAGAAGAGGCGGTGATTATCAAGGCCCCATCTCTCTCTTCCAGTCACATCTGTCCTATCCAAATCTATTTTATGGGACTTTGGTGTAACTGCTAAGCATTATGCAGTGTGATATAGATCTTGTATAATTTGCTTATGATTGATTTGGTGAAGATTAGGAAAGGGCACACAAACGATTTTCATGTGCCACCTGATGCAACAATAATCACAGAAATCGATAAGCAATCCTGGAGCTACTTAAATTGTATTATTCTTGGTGTGCAGCACTTCTCATCCAATGAGCTGTGATGTGATATAAAATGTCATATAAAAAATGTCTGTGTGTTATTATTTTAGTACAGTTTTGTAACAGTGATATACATAAGTAAAATATTAAATTGATATTAGTAAAAACTATCTATCTATCTATCGACCGTAAAGTGAAAGACATCTCCCATCAGCCAACACTAACCCCATGAACTCACACACTATTATACTGCGCACACACACAGACACTTCCTGATCAACTTACTGAACCAGGACAGTTCAATTTACTCCCATAGTTACAGATAGATCAGTTGGATCAGTCTCGATAGCTTTTCGTCGCCTCGGCTAATGAGGTTATATCTTCGTTTTCTACTCAAATCTCCATCAGCTGGAGATGGG